AGTCATGGAACCACTAAAAAATAGCTAATTATCATGCAAATTAGGTAATTAATATGCACGGATTTTTACCAAAAATTAATCAAATCTGCGCATATGTTCAGAGCATCTATGTACCAAGTTTCATCAAAATCCAATGAGTGGTTCTTTAGATATCAGTGGAACAGTCATAGAACAGCTAAAAATTAGCTAATTATCATGCAAATTAGGTAATTAACGAGCATGGATTTTTACCAAAACCTAATCAAATCTGCGCATTGGCCCAGAGCATCTATGCACCAAGTTTCATCAAAAACCGATGTATGGTTCTTGAGATAGCAGTGGAACAGTCGGACACACATACACACACACACACATACACACATACACACATACACACACACATACAGACACACTAACTGCAAAGACTCCCATTTTGTGCTTCGCACATGGGAGTCAAAAATTATTCCATTAATTGTCAAATCAATAATCCGCATATATTTGAATAAATTAAGGATAATGTGAATAATATCACACTCTTCATGACAATAAAACAATGTATGTCATTGCTTTAAAACAGTAAAAAACAAAAAACATTGAGCTGTGCACAGCTGGCAAATATATTAAAAACAGCATAGTTTAACAAAATCTCACAAGGACACGTACTTACCTCGTCTTGTTCTCTAGCTAATTCATAAAACAGTGCAATGGCTTCCCCAGCAGCAATTCTAAGGTTGACATCCTCACTTCGCAATAATTCTAATATTTTAGGTAAATGACTAAATAAAAGAAAAAAAAAATCAAACTATATCATTACCTTGACCTTAGGTTGCCTGCGAATAAAAGACTTGATTGAAATAAGCACTGGGAGTTAGTAGCCAATCATAAAATACAGAGTTTAATCATTGACTGATCACAGCAACAGTAGACTTCAGTGATACACTTTATTCAATGCAGTCTAGAAAATATTTGCGTAGTTGTTGACTGATAGTTTTTTATATCCCATGAAACAAAAATTCAACAACAAAAAAGTTTAATTCACATTTTGTATCACTGTGGAAAATTATAAAATCAGTTAGTTTGGAAACGAAGCCTGAAATATTTTGAAACAAATCAAACATTATTATGTTATTATTTTAATCACTCAAGGTCATTTAAGACTACTGTAGAATACTTTATTTTCGCTTGGAATTAACTTTCACTCTTTTCACTGGAGGCATGATCTGCGAAAATTAAATCCAGCGAATATACTTTTTTCCTAAATTTTACATTCAACTTGTCAAAATTCAGTGAAAATAAATTTCACCAAAAATGTCGTTTTAGCAAAAATTAATTCCAGCTAAAATAAAGTATTTTACAATATTTTAGGGTGACATTCTAAATTCACGATTCTATTAGATAAGATTTCACATAAAAACTGCACAAAATCAAAAGCGCTCATGATGTTAAGTGGGGGGGAAGTGCTGATCATATAAGGTGGGAATGTAACTAACAATTAAAATATTTCTTAGAACAGTCAAATTTAATTTCCTTGCATATAGCGATATACTCTACAAGATCATAAATAATAAATATTCCAACAACGTTTTTTTCAAGGCTATTCATTAAATAGGGTTATATGTACCTTTCCGCCAAAAAGCAAAATCATAGAGGCAAATCTCATATTCCAAATTTAGGCACCAAAGTTACCATGGTCAATCATAGCAATAACATTTTAAGGTCTATGGATCAATACGAGTTCTATACTACATAAACATCGTGTGTAAAATACATTGCTTACACAAAATTTGACTACAACTGTGGGCATGTAAACATCAAATCAGTATGAGAATTGGTGATTCACTTGCACAGCCCATCAGGGCTGGCAACATTCACGTTTTACACAAAGCAGAAAAAAAACCCATACCTTGATATGAGGGACTGTACATGCGTTATTGGTGATATTGATAATAATAGTGTCCACGCTGACAGTGCTGAGGTATGTATGGCAGATTCATTTGGTGAATGCGATGGAGAACTACCGTCACCCTTTAGATATGAAGCTTTAAACACCAATTCTAGCACGGACATAATTTCCTTAACGGCCTGTAATAACGTACAACGCAATGTTATGGACATGAATGAATAAATGTATATATCCTTTTTCAGAAAATATTCACTGTTTATAAAACTGACATCCAGGCAATTTTGCAAATAAAAACGTACAGTATTGGTAAAGGGAAAGACGAGTGCGTGAAACAAAGTGAAACAGTAACAGTTTTACAGCCATTGCCAATATTTGCCACATATTCCACAAAATCTATTTGCAATATCATAAACTCTATTTCATTCAAAATCAAATAAAACTCAGAATGCAAATGGAAACCAAAATGTGGCTGCGAATAGGTTTATAGCCTTAATAGTGATAAAATACAGAACTCCTGGAAACGAATCATTAAATCAAAGAAAGCTTAGAAAGAACTCCCATGTGCTGAGAGTATTGGAGACACATTAAATATAATTCGAAATTACTTAGCTGAAAACTAATTATGCAAATCAGAAAATTAATATGACCAGATTTGAGTGTAAAACTAATGAGGTCTGCGCAATGTAACAGAACCAAAAAATTATGAATTATTATGCTTATTAGGGAATTAATATGAACAGATTTTTACCCCAAACTAATTAGGTTTGTACATTGTCCTAGAGCATCTTTGTACTAAGTTTCATTGAAATGGAATAATTAACACCGCGAAAACTCCAAAATTTCGACCCCTCTAAAAATTTGACCGCCTATTTATTTGCCGGGTTTCGGTGTTTTATTTACCTCCAAATTTTCGACTCCACTAAAAATTGCCGACTCATTCTTATTCGAAAATTGCGACCAGTTTTAGTTTTCCCCCAAACGAAAAAAAAAACGATGTGAGCGTTCAAACGGGACCTTCCTCAAAGGCATGAATCCGGGTTTCTGATTGACTGAGAGATTTTTATTTTATTGGTAACGAAAATATATTCTAAATAAACGAAGTTTCAAATAAAAACGAACACAAAAATCTCGGCATGCTGCGTTTCTGAATTGTTGATTATTACTGTACTCAGTAGTGATTATAATAATGTACACAAAATAAATTTGTTGAATGGTTATGAAATACAAATAAAAGTCAACTTAGTTTCATCGTAAGCGAATGATTCCGGTCTCGTATA